TCTCTCTCTCTCTCTCTCTCTCTCTCTCTCTCTTTATTTTTTGCTTTTGCTACTTTTGCCAGGCACAAAGTAGATTTAAACAAGTTTTATTGAATATAGAGTTCACAATATCATCTCTAATTTCACAGGGAGCGGAGAAGAATTCATCTATGATTAGCACTGGCTAAAGATTGGTCCTCCCTAATTCAGACATATACTCTTCTCATTTTAAAAGACTTCAATAGAAGACAGCAAAGAGAATGTTTGAATAGATATTTTTAAAATGGAACCACAAATGATCAATAGACATATAAGAAGACATTTCATTTGACTCATAGTCAGGGATGTGCAAACTAAAATTTTTGTCAATTAGATCTGCAGAAATTATGAAGAATTTGCCAAAATATGTATTCTCATATGTTATTGGTGTGACTCTAAATAATAATTTAAAGTTTGGAATGATGATCATTTTGGAGCAATAATCATTAATATAAAGGATGTATCAGTCCATATGACTTAACAATCACACAACTTAACAAGGAGAAATGAAGTTACTATTGTGAAAAGTATTTATTGAAGGATGCCTACTGCAGCATTGTTAGTAATAGCTAAAGAAATAAAGAGAAACCCCCTAAAAGTTAATTCTTAGAAGAAAGACTGGAAAACTATAATACCCCCAAATTATGTGGTTATAAAAACATAATGATTTGGATTTCTTATTTACATAAGAGAAAGAAAATCAAGATTCAGAAAATACATTTTTATATATGAAAATAAAGCATGATGAAGGAACATATGAAAGTTCTTTTCTAATATTTTAAGTCAATTAAGAACAAAACAGATTTTAAAACTAATCAGCTAATCCCAAGAGTACAGCTCAACACAGCAGTGTCTCAACTGGGTTTCTTATATGTGGGAGGGAGTGAACCCTCTCTGCTGTTGAACTGCTCCCTCGTTGGCTCCTTAGAGAGTAGAGATCTCATGCCTTAGACTACAGGTTTCTGTGTTACCACCATTGGGGCAACAGATACTCAGAACAAGGAAGATGGAGAGGGAGCCTCAGTGACAGTTCACTTGTCTCTTCTTTTCCCTTCCCCTTAGTTCTCAGTTTTATGACAGAACATTTCATGCAAGCCAAAGATATATACTGAACTATTTCATATAAAGTTTATTTATGCTCAGTTCTTCTTCTATCTCATTTATTAGAATACCAATCACAATTCTAAAATTAAAAAAAATCCAAACTTATAAGGCATTAGTATCTGAAAACTTTTTGCTAGGTGTTAAGGTCTGTAAACAAGTCAAGATGGCGCCTGGCATTTTGCCAGAGGGAGTGGTTTGTGAAGTAACACCAGCGAGCCATTAAGTGTGGAGATATTGGTTGACTGCTGTATCTAGTTTATGTTAATTAAGATAAGCTATGTGTAATGTATATATACCCCTCCTGTCCTACAATAAACGGTTTCCACTCCTGCTGTATCAATGTACACAAGTTGTTCGTGTCCCCCGCCTCCCCCATTATTTTGCTGCAGCCGGACTGCCACAGCTAGGACTATCTTATCTCTTATGGCAAACCAGAACAGATGTATAAAGTATATCGATTTATGTCTACTGAAATAAATTATTGAGTTTCTTATAAGGAAAATTTATTGAGACTATCTTCTTGTTACTATAATGTCTAAATACTTGAGACAAAGTTTATTTTAATGTGCATTTTCTAAGCAATTTTTTGATTCTGCCTTATCTACAGAACAAAATTTAGGTTTTTTTATGGTAGCCAGATACTTATCTGTAATATTTTGCTGTGAAGAATCAGGGCAAGAAGATACTGAGGTAAGGTGCATTGTAAAATATGCTTGAAGAGTAATTTTCAAAATAGACATAAGGCAATTAGATTACTTTAGCTAACACCATAGCTTTAAAGATCTGAATTGGATTAGCTCTTCTGCAGTATTCTGATGACTGTGACCTATGAACAACAGCAGTGCAGAATTGGGTCAAGTTTCCATGACAAGGCATCATTTTCTGAAACTAACAGTTATAGCATTAAGAATTTTAAAAGCTCCTCTTCTGTGATCTCAATGAAGTCAAAGAAAGCTCTCTCTACTGCTTTTGGAAGAGAGTGTCTAATGAAACTGTTTCAAATTGCTGAATGGCCTGGCTAATCCCACCTGTCTCCAGTTGTAGACTCTGAATCCAAGATTTTTCTCACCATGCTAAGCTATCTATTTTACAGATAACAATACTTGTATTTGGAGTAAATTGGCAAGTCTGCGATAGTAAAACCATGGTTGAAGTGTTATCTCTTGGTGGTTACCCTTATTTCATGTAAAATCTATTATTCCTCTTAAGGATTTCCATATTTAGATATTTAAGTAGTAAAGAAAGAGTGTTTTCTGTTTAGAAGGGATATCCAGTTACTTTTTGGGTACCTTGTGTTTCCAGAAAAGAAAAATATGAGATTATATGAGACATTCTTTTTCGGTGATATTGATAATATTCCCTTGTTGAAATTCTATAATATTTTATTATTCTAAAATGTGTATTTCTTTTTCAGATGCACATTTTTAGCACAATTATATACATGTTCATTCCTTGTTTTTAGGTAGTAATCTGTGTTCAATTCAAAACTCTAGAAACTGAGCGAATGTGACTAAAATAAACTAGTTGTAGTGCTAAATAACTTGCAGCACTTCATTCTTTTGGGGGACTTTTTGGTACTTACTTGGAGAGTTTTGCATTCATATTGATTTGACTTATTTTCTTTTCTGACATGCCATTTTTAAATACCTATAAGATTTTGATTGAGTCAGAGATGTGAATTGTTTTATTCTTTCCTGTATGATATACATATGTTGTTTTCAATATCATTTCTATTAAATAAGGAGAGCCCATAGACTTGCTATTTTAGATACAACTAAACTGTATTTACAATTTTTTGATTGAAGTTAATGCCATTTTTATACAATATATGAAAGATGGCTTTGTTTGACAATCAGTTATATAAGTAAGATTTTGCTGACATTTAAAAAGAATAAATATTTGAACAAGTAAACCATTAGTATAAAAGGGAATGCTGTAATTACTTTGAATACACAGTATTCCTAGAGACCCATTAAAATGGCCCAAACTGTAATTATGAACTTGTTATTAACACTTGATTGAATTACTAAATGTACTTGAAAGCAAATGAAGTTAATTCACTAAAATATTCTGAAATTCACTATTTTTAGTATCTTAGGATAAGTGAAATCATTATCCTATTAATTTAGATTAATACATCTCTATATGTAAATGCTACTTACGTTTGAAATACTTGTGCTTAAAAAGTAGATGGAAATTTTTAATTTAAAGGCCAATTATGCAGATAATATTCTTTTTTCTTTCTCAGGGATATATCATCATTAAAAACCATTAATGTAACTGGAACGTCATTAGAGTTTTCAGATTTGGACTATAATGTTGAATATAGTGCCTATGTAACAGCTAGCACTAGATTTGGTGATGGAAAAACAAGAAGCAAAATCATTAACTTTCGAACACCAGAGGGAGGTGAGTTCTTATTAATAGAAGCCAATTTTAAGAATATTGTGCTTAGAAAAGCATTCAGTATCAAAATATTTGAGTGATAAATGCATATTATTGTCACCATCATCATCTTTTCCTACTTCTCTTCTTTCTCTTTCTTCTTTTTTTCTCTCTCTCTCTCTCTTTTTCTTTCGTGGACCCTAGGATGGAACCCAGGGCCTTGCCTCCTAGAAAAACACTGTACCACGGAGGTCCATCTTCAGTTCTAATATCCATTTTCAAAATTGCATCTACTTCCTAGTTGTGTGATGTTGGAAAGCTAGTTAATCAATCTTTGCCTCAATTTCCCATCTATAATGTAGAAGCAATATCATATCTACTCATATGGTCCTTATGAGGATTAAATAAATTTATGTTTGTGAGTGCACTCAACACAACACTTACATGACACATAATAAACATTTGTTTATTATTTGTGATTGTTAAATTGAAGAAAATAAAATGCATGAAGTCAGCTCTCTAACCTCTGACCTTTATTATTCAATTTCACAATTCTAAACTAGATAGGAATTTTATTTTATGTTTTTTCTATTGGAAACTTGTTATTATGTTGCTTTAAAATCTAGAGTAGTCAGCAAGATTTAGAGCCAGGGAACTTTTTTTGGAGGGGAGGATTCTGGGGATTGAACTGAGGGCACTCAACCATTGAGTACTATCCCCAGCCCTATTTTGTATTTTTTATTTAGAGACAGAGTCTACTCACTGAGTTGCTTAGTGCCTGGCTTTTTGCTGAGGCTGGCTTTGAACTTGTGATCCTCCTGTTTCAGCCTCCTGAGCTGCTGACATTATAGGCATTACATGGCTTCTGGCCTCCATGGTAGTATAGTATGAAATCCGTCTGTCCTCCACTTGAATATTGGTATGGTAGACTGTCCCAATGAGTCTTAATGTGGTAGAATGAGTCAGAGTGTCTTATGGATTTCACTTCTAACATCTAAATAGGTAATATATTAAGTTGTTTTAAAAAAATAATTCTCATTTCTTTAGCTTAACAAGTGTGGGAAAATTCAGGTATTTCAGACACTACTAGAGGCCACAAGTACAGGGTTTTTGTTGTTGTTGTTCAATTATTTGTTTTACAGCACCCAGTGATCCTCCCAGAGATGTTCATTATGTAAATCTCAGTTCTTCATCAATAATTCTCTTTTGGACACCTCCTTCAAAGCCTAATGGGATTATACAATATTATTCTGTTTATTATAGAAATACTTCAGGTACTTTTATTCGGGTAAGAACTGAATTTTCTCTTATTGCATTCTTTAGTTATGTTGTTAATGAAGACTTGCTGTGGTAAAGAAATTTACTTATTTTACATTCATAATTGTGCACAGACATATTTTATAAAACTCCCACCAATGGAAAAATGTGGTGGAGAATGTATTAGATGCATTTCAACACCCCTCCATGTCTATATCAGTTTTAAGTGTATTTAAATAACAATGAAGATGCCACCTATTTAAAATTCTATATGTATAGATGGTCCTCAATTATACTTCCTCCAAGAACTGTTCTTAGTGTTGATGGTTTTTATTTATTCTGTTATTTTTGTAGTTAAAAACACATTTTCACTTTGTTTGTTTACAATATGAATCGTTTTAGGGTTTGGATATGTTTGTGTTTTTCTTCATTTAAAAATTTTTTGATTATGGTCAAGATGTTATAGTTATTATAATATTATTATTGCTTAAAATCAGATATGATGAAGATCCTAGGAATGTGATTATTTTAAAATTGTGGTGTTAGGTTCTAGGCTTGCACTGTTTGTAGTGGGCACTTTATGGGATGTATATGATGATAGTCATAGTAGCCCAAATTCATTTAATTTAGAAAAATATTTTCAATTTTTTTTTCACAGAATTATAGTATTTATCCAGATTAATTTTTCACAGAACCTTGTAAAGGACAAAATTGGAGTTGTTGTGATTGAATCAAAGGTGGGAAGAGTTAGAAGATAATTTTGAAAATAGAAGAAATTCTGCCACTTATAGAATATTTACTAAGAAATTATTGACTGTGTGTTGATTGTGATTGTGGCAAGTCTTTGTATCTTTTTAAGTAACAGTAAAGTAGAGATAGAACTTTGTAATTCTGAATTGTATAATCCTGTTTGTGCCTGACAATCCAAGATTAGTCCTAGAGTCAGTGTTTGTTAGTGACAACCTCTGGGATTAGGCAAGGCTTGCTTTAGTGCCACTATGATGCATTGCAGGCTGATGAATAGGTAAGGGCAGAACTTTGCAAACCATCTCACGACTAGTCCAGAAGAGAGAAAAAATGAGTCCAGAGGCTGGTTCAGTGTTTACAATCTGCCCTCTAAACCTGGGGTTGTACAAGTACAACTACTTAAAACGTCATGCCAAAATGAAAACTACTTTTTAAAGACATGCAGATATAGAAATAGATTTAATTGTACAAATTTTAAAAACAAATTCCTTAAGAGCAGAAAGAAAAGGAAGGGTCCAGTTTTATTCTCTGTTTTACATCAAGTAGTTTTTATCATTTCTTTTTGTTCTTCTCTGTTTATGAAAGAAAAAATGGAGATGAGTGAGGCAGTTTTTCACCACAGTATTGTATACAATTTTAACAATATTCATTATATCATAAAAGGCATTCAAATTGCAATTTTTCTTCTTTCATACATTTAACAAGCATTGCAAAATGGTTTCTATAGTTCTACATCTTAGCCATGTTTGCCTCTTACAATTTGCTTACAGTTTAAACATGATTATATTTGATTCTCTTTGTCCACATCTAAATAATCAAGTATAAACATCCAACTATGGTTTCAACATCGTTTTCTAAACCTATATATTCAAACTTGGTATATAATATGATCCCATTTGCAATTCATTTGTCTTAGAACATGTTATCTTTTAAGTAATCTTAAGAATGCTTTTAAGTGTGACAGCTGCAAAAGGGCACAGGCTAATGATGTTAAAGCGCTTGAGAAGTATAGTCTCATATTGCTTCAAGTTCATTCCTGCTTTAAAGTATTCCTAAGGTTATTGTTAAAAATAGCATCAACATCTTTGCTACCTGATTTTCTATTTGGGGTCTGTAGAAGAACTCCTCATAGCAAGAATTGTATAGCTGAATAGGTTTATAGCTTTTTCCTTGTTCTTTCTTCTCTTCTTTCCCCTCCCCACAGAATTTGTAGAATACCTCATGCTGAGTAAGTCATATTAACTCCTATTGCAGGTATCTGCTACTTTTCTTATTTCCCTTACACTGTAGCAATACTTTGAAGAAAAGAACATGTGACATTATCTTTCCTTTCCTTCATGTTCCCTGGAACAAAGTGACGTATACATAGCTTTAATGCTCAATAAACATTTTAATAGAAAGAATATAAAATTATTATAATTGACACACATTTTCAGTACTTAGTTATAATTTTGGAACACTTGAGTTTGGAGTGATCTTTTCTTCTTATTATCTTGGGGAACTTAATCTCTCTACCCCTACTTGGCAGTCCATCTTGTTCTTTCTTTTCTTTTTTTTTTTTTGTTCTTTCTTTATTTGTCACACACTGTTTTGTATAGATTATTAACTCTCGTCCATTTTAATTACTACCAATTTATGTCATGTCTTTTCAGTGTGCCTGACAAAATGCCTTATATAAAAAGCACTAAGTGAATTTTGGTTGATTAATTAATCAAATTTGAAAGCTTTTGCTAAATACTTTCTGACTGTATTTACATAAACCAAGGAATAATCCTTAACTAAGGTAATTAGGACCAAAATACATTTTGGAGACAAAAGTAAATAGATGAATGAAATAATAATCTGGATAATTGATCTCATTTAATAAATTTATCACATGTCTATGCATGCTGAGTCACACAACCCAACAGGACTTCTGGTTGATTCAAAATTATTTATTACTCATGTCATTAATGTTATAGGTAATTAGAATAAATTCTGTAGCAAACAAAAATAAAAAATTAAAATTTATACCAAGAAGTTTTAAGTAATTAATATTTTTAAGTGATGCTTTATATTAGCCAGTTATTTCATATATAAAATAAATATATTGGAAGGCATTAAAGTTTATATATCTTATTTTGTGTGTTGTTATATGACTTTAATATGGCTGTTCCAAAATAACTAACCAAAAAATTGAAGTAAATCTTCATTTCATTCCCTCTTTTCTTCCCTCAAACTAGGAAAAGAACCACAAAATTTTATTGAATGTAATTTCTGGATAAAATTCAGAACCATCTTGTCTATACATTTAGTCAAATTGATTATAAATTGTTAATTATTTTAACAAAACTAATTGCCATTATTGTTTTTTCTGTGTGCCAAATATGGTATTAATTGCTCTATGTGCCTCATTGTAATCTAACCCTCAAAGCTCTCTGTAAGTGGAGATGATCATTTGCTTTTTACAGTTGTGGGAAGAGAAGTAGATAATCTATTGAGGGCTTTCCTGCCAGAACTTGAATGTAAGGTCTATAAGACTCAAAGCTTTCCATGTGGGTTGGGATGATTCAGATTCCTTAGTATAAATACATTATTATAGAATTATTCATACTCATTTGTGGTGTGCTTTTAAAAATCTATTTTCCTTTACTTTAGAATTTATTTTGTTTGATTATGTGATTTGTTTTTAATTTTTCACCAGAAGGAAAACAATTGCAAGAATTCCTTAAATATTAAAAAAAAATCTTTGGGATAAATATAACTATCAGGAATGAGAACTTAAATATGTCATTCTGTACATTAGAGAGCACATTTGATTTCTCTTTGCTCTCCAAAATTATAGAACAAAGAGGGCTCACTAAAGATGCATAATAATAAATATTTAAGTTTATAGAAAGAGGTAAACACTTTCATAATTCCTCTATAATTAATGAGAGGAAAAAATTTAAAAATTTATATTTCCAAACTTGTTTAAAAACAGTGAATACTTTGAAAAGTACTTAAGTGTTTCATAAGGAAAACAGCCACTGATCAGCACAGTTACAGCGTTTTCACTTTCATTACCAATATAAGCTTTAAAGTTTATTTGGTATATTTATTTTTTAAAGAAAAATTTCCCAAAGGATGTAAAAACAGCATACTACAGGGACACAGCCATATCAATGTTTATAGCAGCACAATTCACGATAGCTAAACTGTGGAACCAACCTAGATACACTTCAATAAATGAATGGATTAAAAAAATGTTGTATATATACACAATGGAATATTACTCAGCAATAAAAGAGAATAAAATCATGGCTTTTGCAGGTACATGGATGGGGTTAGAGAAGATAATGCTAAGTGAAGTTAGCCAATCTCAAAAAACCAAATGCCAAATGTTTTCTTTGATATAAGGAGGCTGATTCATAATGAGATGGAGAGAGGGAGAATGGGAGGAATATATAAACTCTAGATAGGTCAGAGGGGTTGGAAGGGAAGGCAAGGGGCATGAGGTTATTAATCATGGTGGAATGTGATGATCATTATTATCCAAAGTTCATGTATGAAGACACGAATTGGTGTGAATATACTATGCATACAACCAAAGATATGAAAAATTGTGCTGTATATGTATAATAAGAATCATAATGCACTCTGCTGTCATATAAAAATAAATAAAAATAAAAAAATAAAATCAAAAAAAGAAGAAAAATTTCTACCATCTATTCCTCTTTTTTAATTAAATAATTTATTTTAATTAGGTATATATGACAGCAGAATGCGTTTTGATTCATTGTACACAATTGCAGCACAACTTTCCATTTCTCTGGTTGTACACGATGTAGCATTGCAACATATGTGCAGTCATACATATATCTAGAGGAATGATGTCCATATCATTCCACCATCTTTCCTACCTCCATGTCCCCATCCCACCTCTCCCTCCCCTTTGCCCCATCAAAGCTCATCAATTTTTCCCATGTACCCCATGGATCAGCATCCACTTATGAGAACCTTTGCTTTTTGTATTTTTGTGATTGGCATCTATTCCTCTTTAAAGCAAACATATTTCCAGCTTAATTATTGCAATGAAAATAATCTATATTGATTTTCCTAGAACTTAATATATTAAAGTAAGAGAGAATCAGTTCATGGATAATAATTATTTTAAAACATCCAAGTACATCAAAAACATATTCTGAACCTTTAAAACAATATATTTATTTTTCAGAATTTTACACTCTATGAAGTAACCAATGACTTTGACAATATGACTGTTTCTGCAATAATAGATAAACTGGCAATATTCAGCTACTATACATTTTGGTTAACAGCAAGTACTTCATTTGGAAATGGGAATAAAACCAGTGACATAATTCAAGTATACACAGATCAAGACAGTACGTAACTAAAAAACATTTATTAATATCAATTAAGTTACTTTAAAACTTTGTGATTATTTCACGTATTGGTAATAAAATCTTTTTAGGCATATTTATTCATTATAAGAATTTGAAAATTCATTTAATATAAGAAAACTATTATAAAAATAATAGCCCATTCATTTCATGAAAACTGCTACCATCTATTCATTAGTTTTTTCTTGCTTTTATTGCTTCAAAATGTGTCACAGCCTGCCGTTATAGAAATGAAAAATGCTTCTGTACCCATGGATGAATTTTCTAATTGTTAATATATTTGTCCATCTGCTTTAGGAATGACTTTTTTTTAATCTCCAGCAATTTGCTTCCTTTCCAGACTTTGAATCCACATAGGACTTTATGTAGCACTTTTCTTTTATTGTTTTTGTGACTAATATACTCCGAATAGCCTTTATTTTTTAATTCAACAGAAATTTCTTATTTGCAGTTTCTGCAGAATCCTGTTTGTACTGAGTATTCAGAAAACTAAAATGATTGAAGCTCTTAATTTTTTTTTTAGGTTTCAGTTGTGACAATACAATAAGTGGATCATTGCCTATTTCCCTTGTGGTTGTTTCTGTTGGCTATTTGTTTATTTTTAAAGATTAATCTCCTATTGATAAATAGTATTCACCTATGTTTCTGATGACAGTAAAATTCCATATGTATTATTTGGAAGTCATAAGTTGACAGACACTATAATCATGAGAAATGAATGCTTACTTTGTTGGAAAAAATCATTTTTGAATAGTTGACAAGTTGATCAACAAAATACAATAAATATGTGGAAATGTAAATTTAAGAAGTCTTTAGAAATAATGCTTTTAGTATAATATGTGGTCAATATCATTTCAGGTATTCTTTAAATGCAAATCTCTCCCAAGATTTTTAGAATGTATAATATTTTAACCAGTATAATTATAGCACCATAAATAATAAGCATTTACTGTACAATGCTCCAAGTGGGATTTTAAATTTACATTAATAAAGTTGAGTCTCAGAATATAGCTGATATCTGAGAACTAGAACTTTTATAAGTTGAAATCAGAAAACCTTAGTATAACCTTGAACAAGTCACTTATTACTGAGTATGTTTCCTCATATGTTCAATAGGATAATCTTTAGAAGAAAAAAGCTAACTATTATTTAGACAATACAGATTACCAAAATATTTGAATACTCGAAAATAAATCCACACACATTACTCTTTCTCTATCTCTTTCTCACACACATAGTCCATGTTGCAGGAAAGAAAAGTCAAGAAAATATTATATAAAAATAATTCACTCATATATTAATGATGGTAGTGTTTATTTTGAATAATTCTCAAATAATTATTAAAGGGTATTTTATATAGGCAATGTTTGACCACATATGCATTTAAATAATAATGTAAGAACTGTCATGTAATAGATGCCATTTCAATTATTGTACTCAGTTTGTGTATAGGGTAACTGATGATTTTATATTTTGCTCATTACCTATCATAGTACCTGAAGGGCTTGTTGGAAACCTGACTTACCAGTCTATCTCATCAACTGCGATAAATGTAAGCTGGGTCCCACCGTCTCACCCAAATGGTCTAGTCTTCTACTATGTTTCACTGAATATACAGCAGAGTCCTCGCCATGGGAAACCACCTCTAGTTACATATGACAGCAGCATATATTTTGATAATCTGGAAAAATACACTGATTATATATTAGAAATCACTCCATCAACAGAAAAGGGATTCTCTGATATCTATACTGCCCAGCTACTCATCAAAACTGAAGAAGATGGTAGGCTAGACCTTTTATTGCCTATTAATCAGACTATTGTTCTCTTCATTTATATTGATTTTTATAAGAAGCATTATTCTTACAACTATGTAGGTTCTGTTTGTTCTCAAGTAATGAGCCTTTCAATAAACATGTTCTAAGCTTCTTAAAATTAAAATTTGCTAATAAAATTAATTTCAGTTATAATTGAAGTTTTTTTAAAATGCTAATTTGCTTTTGTTTCATTTATTATTCTCTTTTTCTTTTATAGTCCCAGAAACTTCACCAATAATCAACACTTTTAAAAACCTTTCCTCTACCTCAGTTCTCCTATCATGGGATCCCCCAGTAAAGCCAAATGGTGCAATAATAAGTTATGACTTAATTTTACAAGGACCAAATGAAAATTATTCTTTTATTACTTCTGATAACTATATAATATTGGAAGAGCTTTCACCATTTACATTATATAGTTTTTTTGCTGCTGCAAGAACTGTTAAAGGACTCGGTCCCCCCAGTATTCTTTTCTTTTACACAGATGAGTCAGGTAAGCCGGAATCCACATTTCTTCAAATGATTTCATTGTTCCAGTACTTTCTCTTGATCTAAGGAACAGAGTGGAAAATGAAAGAATATTTGATTGTTGATTTGTAGCAAGCTTACAATTTTTCATCTACTTTGCCAAATTTCATTTCCTAATTCAATTTTCAGAATTATGTGTTCTGTTTAAAGCTACTTTGGAGCTATTATGTTCCAGGAACAAAAATATAATTACTTATGGTATTTGTTTCTGAAATTAAAAATATGATCATTTTCTAAATCCTTCTTAATTTAGTGTCTTCAAGAAGCTACAGTTACAATGCAATTCCAATGCTACAAGTGTTATGAATAAAAGTTTTGTGATGTATTTTCCTACAGTGCCTTTAGCACCTCCTCAAAATTTGACTTTAATCAACTACACTTCAGACTTTGTATGGCTGAAATGGAGCCCCAGTCCTCTTCCAGGCGGTATTGTTAAAATATACAGTCTTAAAATTCATGAACATGAAAGTGATACTATATCTTATAAGGTAGGTTGATTCTAATAGTATATGTTTATTTCAAAAATTCTGAGATTGAATTTTGGACATGTAGGTGGAAAATTGGCTGTTTTTAAATTAAGCAATGGCGGGCTGGGAATGTGGCTCAAGTGGTAGCTCGTTCGCCTGGCATGCATGCGGCCCGGGTTCAATCCTCAGCACCACACACAAACAAAGATGTTGTGTCCGCCAAAAACTAAAAAATAAATATTGAAAAATTCTCTCTCTCTCTCTCTCTCTCTCTCTCTCACTCACTCTTTAAAAAATAAAAATAAAAAAATAAATTAAACAATGGCAACCTTTCAAATTTTTTTTTGTTTCCTATAACTTAAAAGATGCTTGTGCAAAAAGCATTTATGTAAGCTGTGTACTTCCTAGAGCAATATATTTAAATTTGTAGCTTTTAGATATCTACAGTTTAAGAACTAATTGTACCATTTTGTTAATGCTGGAAAGTATATAGTAATCTTTTTCTGGCTTATTTAAAATCTATTGTGAAATGCAGTATGTGTGTGTGTATATATATATATATATATATATATATATAATGAAAAGAAATACCAAATGAATTTTTTAGCTTTTCTAAAGGCATTTACACCTTTGATAATCTTTCCTGATAGCAAATGATACTACACTCAATGATCTAAGATAAATTCTTATTCTTTTACTTTCATTGATAATTCATCTATAACTCTAAATATCCCTTCCTTTTTCTATGTTTTAGGATCCAGGATCAGTAAAAATTCCCCCAAAGAACCTATGTAACAAAGAATCTGAAGTACATATGCATGATTGCTAGGATTTAATTGCCAAAATATCTCATAATTAATTAGCATTTAAGAAAGTTTTCTTATTTTTCTTCAAAGGTGAATGAAGTCCTGAAATATTCTTACTTGATTACAATAGCAGTGCAGATAGTATACAGTAAACATTTTGTCCAATATTATATGAATTATAATTTGTTACTTTGGTAAATCATTTTTATAGCATGTGCTGTTTACAAAGTGAATAGTGAAAATCAAAAGTGGTGATTAAAGTCTGTCATCAATTACAATGACTTTCTTTCTGGAGAACAAGATACTATTTTAAAGTCCGATAGGCTAGGGAGAATTTAAATTACATGACTCCGTAGGTATAGAATCTGTTTCCCAGAAGTGTGAAATTATATTAATTATATGAAGCCTATAACTTTCTATTACCTATTCTCTGGTTCAATCTCAACATTTTCCTATTTTTAAAATTTCCTTTGTCTGAACAGGTTATAGGGAAATATCAAAAGGGAAAAATAATAATTTTCTCTCTGTATTCACATGCCTAGAATAATTGTGTATGTGCATTGAAGTGTGGCTGCATGTGTATGATCGTATCTCCTTGGAATGACAGCCTCCAAAGGAGATACCCTAAACAGAGTGGCAAAGCAAGGGCTTTGATCTCACATTACCTGGTTCAGACCTTGCCTTTGAGACTCACTGGGGTTCATTAGGGAAACGGCCTAACCTCCTAAAACTCAGTTTCTTCAAGTTGTAAGTGCAGCTACTTAAAACTTCATGCCCCAAAGAAAACTACTTTATAGAAGACATTTTCCCTTAAATTGGTTTTCAAAATATTAATTTCTTTAAAATTCCTTTAAATGTGCTTTAATACTCTAATGCCGTTCTTTCCTTTTTTAACATTCAGTTTACTACATCTACTTTTCTTCCTCTACCTAGCTTCCACTCCATTGTGTTTCTTTCTTTTTCATCTACCTTGCATCCTGACAGTATCAGTTTCTATAATTTATTTTCTTCTTTTAAATTATCTGTGGGTTTGTAGAGGAATAATAATTTTCAGAATCATTCTCAATGGAATCTTATTGATCTTATTCAGGACCAATGCTATCTCAGTGGTCCTGAATAAGATCAATAGGTAACTTAGGTTACTCAGAGATAGTGAGTGACTACCAAAAATTACTCTCATACCCTTGCTTTGTAATCTGTTGGCTTCAGTTTTTTTTTTTTTCTGGGTACATACCCTTTTAATTAAAATTGGAATTCACTTGTTGTATGTTTAATTTCTTCTCAGTCAGCAATTGTTTGTAGATTGTTTTAGGTAATATAAAGATTCCTTGATGGCAGGGACCATGTCTTAAATGTATTTAAAATCTCCAGGTCATCTATCAATATGATTTGCAAGTAGTAAGTATAAAAAACAAGAGGAAATAAGGTGATGCAGTAAGTCCGCAATGTATGCCACTAGAGATTATTTTAAAATGTGACTATAATTGTAAATGCATCAAAACCTAATATTCTTGTTGAATTTCTGCTAATGAAAGGTTTAATAAACAATCAACATGTTTTATATGTTGACAGATATAATTTAATACTCTTAAACTTTTACTACCTAGGAGATTGTCTTATCTCTGTAATAATAATTGTTTCATTTTAATGGTTCTCTTTGGATAGGATCATTATGTTTGAATGAAAATTTGACAGTGAGTGGTAAATTTTTCTATGATAATTCATATTCTTCTTTGGTCAACTATGATAAATATTTTGTTCTTTTCCTCATTTTTCTAAAACAATTATATCAAATTAGAAATTTCAGAGTTGTCTGGGACAACTCCTAGTTTAAGCTCATGGAAACATGGATTTTATTTATTCACTGCTTTATCCCCAGTACCTTACAAACAGTAGTTGATGATTGAATTAGATTATATAGGCATGTTAGTGTGTATTAAAAAGGAATTTAGATAAATTCAGGAAAAATCAAGTGTTGCTGATCAAGCACAAATTGAATTTAAAAATTGAACGTCTGAATTTTAGCAAACTTAAGGGAA